TCCTGAGAGTTGGCTAACACAGAAGCTAACTGTACATGTCTCATACTCTCTCTGGGTTTTGTCACACCATAAATCTAGAAAGATTCAGATGGTTGGATAGCATCACCACCTCAATGGACATGAGTTTGAGCGAACTCCAGGGGATAGTGAAGATCAGGGAAGCCTGGCGTGCTTCCGTCTATGGGGTTGTGAAGAGCCGGACGTGACTTAGCAACTAAAACACCGCAACAAATCTTGAAGGAACTGGAAGCTCATTTTTTTAAGTCAACGGCAAAAGAGAGAAGAACTATGTCATCCAGCCGTTGGAACTGTTTGGTGGGCTAACGTACGGAAATCACCTGGGACTCTGTGAGCTCAGTAAATGTGAGCAGCTCCCCACCACAACCTGATCCCTTCTCACTTCATCCGTACTTCCACAGTGGAGGTAGGAAGTTACAGGTAAGTGTCTCCTAGGGTCTTAGCTTTCTCTGTACTGGTGAGATGAACAATGGTACACAATTCCTACTTTAAGAAGCTTCTAGGCTAGCTTCTAGTAGGAAAATGTGCACACTTGCTTCCTCAGATACTAAAGCAAGGTTCCAGCGTCCATGTGGAAATCTCATGGGTGTGACCTGGATGTGTCTAGGGGTCAATGCATTGTTCATCATTCTCCCCACGCCCCACTGCTTCAACCACCTTCCTCCTACACACACACAGCCACCACCCCCACCTCCAGCTGCCACTCAAGAGGGATTAGATTCCCCTCTGAGTTCCCACAGATCCCTGGACTTCCCTATTTGCCCAACTATTACTAAGGACTGGATTTACTGCTTTGTGCATCAGTGAATGAAACTACATTCTTTAATGTATCCTCAGAAATTGGCTCAGGGGGTACAATGCTTGGAACAGGATACTCATTCATTAACATGTTTGAATGAATAAATGTGATCAGTTAATTCCTTCATGATGACTTTTGAGCTCTCCCTACAAGCTGACCAATTTGTTATGCCATGGGCTCAGGGCGCCAACTCAGTCCTCACAGATGCTTTTTAAAATAACTTACAAGGAGTTCTCTATGTGAAATCAGTACGTGATTCACATACACCTACAATGTTAAAGCACTCACAGAGCCTCGCGGAAATTCAAATGGGCAATCCACAAATTGAATTATCAGCTCCTAATTAGGCAGATGTTAACTTTCATTAAAACTGGTAAAATATATTCCAGAAGTTAATTAATAGCTTTGAAAATAACCATGAGCTTCACAAAGCTGAAATCTGCCAAAGCAGGGGTATTCTGAGGTGTGTTCAGAGTTTCCAAGCGCAGGATATGTTTCCATAGTTGCCTACCCTGCAGTAATCAAAGAATAGGTAAATTAACTTATCTAAAAAATTAAAAAATGGAATGAACTCAAATTGCCTTTATCTCCTGAAGGCCTCCAGAGTTGCCAGAGTAAAAAAGACCATGCCCTTACTTATTTCAGGGGTATCTAAAAAACTTTGCTTCTGTGAGTTCCTTTTTATAGATGAGGAATGATTCTTTTTCTGTTTATTTTTACATAACACCTCTATCATCAGCCGTATTTCAAAATGATGATTTGGATTCCTGCAGCCACTGTGGAAAACAGCATGGAAGTTTCTCAAAAAACTTAAACAGACCTACCATCTGACCCAGCAATTCCACTCCTGGATATATATCCAAACAAAAACAAAACACCTAGAGCAGGACATCCTGGAGTGCAAAGTCAAATGGACCTTAGGAAGCATCACTATGAACAAAGCTAGTGGAGGTGATGNCACTTACTTTCTGTATGACCTGGGACTCAGTTTCCCTAGCTGGATTGTGGGGGTTAATAATATTAATCGTACCCAATTCAGCGACAGGAAAGGTTCAAGAAATAAACAGCAAATATACGAGATACGGCACACTGCTTGGCAAGTGGTAAAAACTCTACTGAGATAAACTGACTGTATCACTAACCTCCTTGTGCCTCTGTCCTTTGCAGTAAGATCCTGCAGCGGATCTGGCTCAGCAGGCGGAGTCCAGCCCCCCACACCTGGGCCTGGTCCAGCCCTGTGACCGCTGTGACCAGGTCGGAATGTGGCCGGAGCCATGCTGCACCAGTTCCAAGGCTGGGTCTTATACGTTTCCACGTGTTTGCTTTTGCACTTTTGCTTTGTCATGAGAACACACCCAGGCTAGCCTGCTAGAGGGTGAGAGACGTGAGGCGAGGAGCTGAGCCGCCCTGGTTGATTAACCACCAGCCAACTAAACCCCAGACACAGGAGCCCAGGCCAAACCAGAGCCTCTCAACTGACCCACAGACTCATGAGCTAAATAAAGCCTTGTTTTAAGCCACTGAGTTTTTATGGCTGTTATGCAGGTTTGCTATGGCCTAGATGACTGGTGTTGGAGAAGACTCTTGAGAGTCCCTTGGACTGCAAGGAGATCAAACCAGTCCATCCTAAAGGAAATCAGTCCTGAATATTCATTGGAAGGACTGATGCTGAAGCTGAAACTTCAATACTTTGGCCACCTGATGTGAAGAACTGACTCATTGGAAAAGACCTTGATGCTGGGAAAGACTGAAGGATACAGGATGAGATGGTTGGATGGTGTCACCAACTCAATGGATATGAGTTTGACCAGGCTCCAGGAGTTGGTCATGGACAGGGAAGCCTGGCGTGCCACAGTTCATGGGATTGCAGAGTTGGACACAACTGAGCACATGGACTAAACTGAACTGCACTGAACTAAAAAAGATACGTGCACTCCAATGTTTACCGTAGCATTACTTACCACTTCCCAGTTATGAAAGCAAGCTATGTGTTCATCAGCAGATGAATGGATGAAAACGATGTGGCACATATATACAATGGAACACTACTCAGCCATAAAATAGAATGAAATGTTGCCACTTGAAGCAACATAGATGGATGTGGAGGACACTGTGCTGAGTGAAGTAAGTCACAGAGAAAGACAAATACTGTATATATCACTGATATGTGGAATCTACAAAATACAACACATCAGTGAATAACACAGAAAGAGGCAAACTCACAGATAAAGAGAACGACTGGATACCAGTGGGGACAGGTAACCAGTGGGGAGGGACCATACAGTGGGGGAGGGGGGAGGAGTTATTATGGGATTATATAAAATCACGTGTGTGAAATTTTTGAACATTGTAAAGCACTACAGGATTTAAAGAATCTTTCTAATACTGTATGATATCACTTGTATGTGGAATCTAAAAAGTAAAACAAACTAGGAAATATAACAATAACAAAAAAGAAGCAGGCTCACAGACGTAGACAACAACTAGTGGTTAGGGGAAGAGGGGTAGTGGCGATGCAGGGCTGGGGGAGTGGGAAGTACAAACTACTGGGTATAACTAGGCTCAGGGGTATAGTGTACAACATGGGAAATATAGCCAATAATTTGTAATAAGTGCAAATGGAAAGCAACCTTTAAGAATTAAATAATTTTAAAAATTTAATAATGCAAAATATAAATAAAATCAAATTTTTTAAAAGAATCATTAAACTAAACAAGAAAAATGAAAAAAATTTAATTTTTAAAATGATAACTTATAAACACTATCTTCTTTGGCAGAAAAAAAAAAAATCCTTCCATCCAATCCTCCTATTAGGCTTTAGTCCACTTAAGCCCTTTCTCTTAGTTTAATAGGATTGACAAAAGCAAATCATAATTCAAGACTTCAGTTTACCAACTTTCCTTTCCCCTGTTCACCGAGATTCTCCTACCTACCCATCACCCAGTACCGGCTGATCCTGAGAGGCACTCCAGAAGGCAGGAAGAAGGATACACATGCTTGCTTTCTGAATTGAAGATGAGGATTTCATTTGTTTTAGAAATGCCAAGCTATTGGGGGNGGGGGGGGGGGGGTTGCCTTCTCCATTTAGACATGAGGCTGCACACAAGAAAGATAAGCAGGAAGGCAAGTATTTCGGGAAACACAGGGTTGTCTGCAGAAGTTCCAATATCCTTTCAACATGAAGATTACAGCAAGCTGTCCACAAATCATACTGTCTATGTAAAATTCTCTTTCATTTCGTGGCTTCCTCGTCTCCTCTGCCATCTGCCAAGGTTGTGGTTCAAATCATTTGATTTTACCCCTGAAATATGGGATCAACCTACATACAGCCTCATGGGTTCAGAGCCACCCAGGCTCCAGGCAGGGGGTAAGCAACTAGCCCTGGGGACGCTTTCTTCAGCAGCGGCACCAGGATTCTATCAAGTCCCTCCCAGGGAAACTTCTCTGGCCTTGCGGCAGGTGGGCACTCCCGGAACACTGCAAAGATCACGACAGCTCCTGCCAAGCCGAAAAGTCGGCTCCAACGCACCCCCTTCTCCTTTCCTTCTCTGCCTTCCCCATCTCTGCCCCTCCCACCTTTCCCCATCCCAGTCCGCCCCACTGCTCCCCCACCCTCTTCTTCCCGTCCTTCTCCTCGCAGCATCCTGTAGACGCTGACCGGGATTTCCCCCTTGAGGACAGCTGAGCAACAATTCCCTTGCAGAGGGTTTGCCTGGAGGAACCGCAGAGAGGCAGTGTCCAGATCTGCCAAGGCCTCTCTTTTCCTCTGCCTACCAGCCCAGTCCGCCACGGGAGGGGAGAACGGGGTCTGCCTCTCGGGGCACCCACCAGCCGCCGCCCGCAAAGGGCGCGAGGGCCGGACCCTCGTCCGCGTCCCCCACCCCCACAGGCCAAGCTTATAGTGTGGCCAGCACTGCCCTCTAGCGTTGGCAGGTGGGAGCCCTGGGGCGCCGTCAGCTCCAGAATTTCTCTTCCGCAGCCTAAGCAAGACCCGGAGCAGCTCGGAGCTCCGAGCCCCGGGTGCGCCGCGCTCCGGGCCGGGTCTGCCGCAGCCCGGGGCACCGCGCGGGCAAAGGGCGCCCGAGGGGCCGGCAGCCGGGTGCGGTGAGAAGCGGCGCTTTGGTGACGCTCGGGAGCAGGAAGAGAGGCTCGGAGTGAGACTTCTGGAACCAGAGGACGCCCGGGCTCGCCCAGGGTGCGGCGGCTGCGCGCTCCGTCCACAAGGTGAGGGGCGCGCGCCTTCCGAGACGCCCGCGGCTTCCCCTTGACCCCTGCCCCGGGCAGGGGCTCCGTCGCGGGCTGGCGGATTTCTGCCTGGTCTTTGGTTCAAAGGAGGCGGGGGTTGGGAGGGCAGCGACCGGGGTCGCCCGGGCACCGTGCCTGCCTCCAGACTTCTTTGCACGGGACACGGTTCTCGGTCAAACAATCCCCCGAATTTGTGAAACCTGAGTGTCGACATTGTGTCGAACTGTGCTTGGAGAATTTTATCCTACTTCCTTGCAAAAGGATTTGAGCAGCTTAAAAATTAAATAAATTGTGGGAAAGGGGTGCTTGGAGGAAAACACTTGCATGGGAATTCCGCGGAGAGGGCTGGCTGCGGGGGCCGCGGGACCGCCAGGGAGGGGCAGAGCCCACGCTGATGGGAGAAGCTTGGATGAGAAAGGACCGCGCGGTTGCTCCGGCGGTCGGAAAATTAGGATGTGCTCTGTCCTGAGAGAGAAAATACCCGTGTGGGGGTGATGGGGTGACTCATTTACTTAATTACCAAATACAGCTTGGAAGTGGAGACGGGGAAGTTTCATCTTGAGCTACTTCCACCCAGTTCTGCAAGGTGAGAGACTGGCCCTCTACGTAGTGAAAACGAAAGGGAATTGAGGCTAAATGGAAGGGGCTCCTGCTCCTACCTCAAGATCAAACAACTTCGCATTGTTAAAATATCATATACTTTTTTTATGTGTTTCTGTTTGCGTCCGGTTTGGGGTAGGACCTCGTATTCAACCTAAGCCTGCTTGTCCTTGGCTTAGAAGGATAAGGCAGAGGGTGTCAGTCTCCCAGGATGCTTCTTCCTAACCTTCCTTATTGTCTTTCCATACTTCCTGCATCAAATCTCTGAGTCTGGGAGGGAATAATAGTCAAGTGGATTGGGGGAGGAGTGTTTTCCTAAATAGTTCAGGGTCCTCTTACCATTCTTATCTTACTCCCAGCTCCACAGTAGTATATGTTCAGGTCTGAACTTGACATTGCTCCACAATATGTACTTATGGTAGTTTCTACACTCAGATGCAAAGTGCATGACGTTAAACACCCAAGGTGGACTTGTGAATCCAGGGCTTCCCTGAATTAACCCTGTTCCAGGGGCAGGAAGCAAGGGCCTGGGTCTGGTTCCCTGTGCAGTATCTTCCATGGGAAACATATTTGGAATACAGAGGAGATCATGAGCCAGCCTTTCTTCTCTTACTGGTGTACTTGTTTTCCTGCTGAATTAAATGAGGTGACCCTGTCTTCAACAAATAAATGAATGGAGGTGCCTGAAGCCAACTTAGCAAATGCAGAAACTCTATCTGCCTGTCTTTTTCCTCCATTCAGAACTTCAGCCTTTCAGGTCTGAACTTGACATTGCTCCACAATATGTACTTACGGTAGTTTCTACACTCAGATGCAAAGTGCATGACCTTAAACACCCAAGGTGGACTTGTGAATCCAGGGCTTCCCTGAATTAATCCTGTTCCAGGGGCAGGAAGCAAGGGCCTGGGTCTGGTTCCCTGTGCAGTATCTTCCATGGGAAACATATTTGGAATACAGAGGAGATTATGAGCCAGCCTTTCTTCTCTTACTGGTGTACTTGTTTTCCTGCTGAATTAAATGAGGTGACCCTGTCTTCAACAAATAAATGAATGAAGGTGCCTGAAGCCAACTTAGCAAATGCAGAAACTCTATCTGCCTGTCTTTTTCCTCCATTCAGAACTTCAGCCCCCAGACCACAGAAATGTGAAAATGAAGCAGGCCTCCTAAATGGGAGGCCTAAAACTAAGTATTTTGCTAGTATTGTAGTATTGCTAAGTACTGCTAATATTGCTAAGTATTTTGCTTATTTCTAAAATTGCACAGCACCTCCACAGCTAACCATTTCTCTGCATAAAAGTGGGAGAAGTACTTTTGCCCATGTATTTCATCACTAGAGAGCTACACAGAGAAGTTCATTCAGATTCTGATTCATTATTGTTGATCGAACTTAACTATTATGTCATCATCACCTGATGTGGGCTGTTGAAGCCCAAGGGTTGCTGCAGACCTCTGTATAGATTGAGACATCATGAAAGAGCTGAGAAGGAGCTCAAAAATAATGCATCCAAGGCTCAGGTCCAGAGTCTTGGCATAAATGCATGCCCAAACATTCCTCTAGGTGGTCATTGTTCCTTTTGGGAAGATTTTGAGGAATGACGACTTCACAGATTATTTTCACATTAAAAAGTATTCAGAAATTGGTCATTTATGTCAACCAGCTGACAGATTTAAAATTCCGTGTAAATCAACATAGAAACCCACGCTTCCCTTCTCGTCTCCTTTCCGGCCCGTGGTAACGTTCCACGGGGTGTGTCCCAGGCTGGTGCTCCTGGCACTTTCTTTCCTTGGACTTCTGCTGAAACCTCAGCCACAGCCTCCTTTGCAACTGGTCCTGATGTGACTTTTGTTAACCTTTCTGGGATCTGTTCAAAACATCTGCTCACCATTTCTTCTTATTGATGCCTGGTCAGCATCAATCATGTAAATACTGTTATATCCTTTTGAGGAAAATAACCACGTCAGGACAAGTCAGACATTCTCAGTGATGGTGCCCAGGAAAAGACAAAAATCCAGGATACATCTCTAGCCCAGGTGACATTGCACTGCTTCCATTTCCTGCTATTTGATGAGATACAGTGAAGTGAACTATATCACTAACAGCACCTCGTCCCCATCTGTCTCAAGCACCTGCTCACTGACATTTTAACAACCCCCTCCATCACCACCACGATCCCCCAAGGCTCAGATAGAAAGTCGAAAGCCTCAGGCCCTGACTTGCTGGGTTGATGTTGTTGTTCAGTCGCTAAGTCGTGTCCAGCTCTTTGTGACCCCCCTGGACTGTAGCCCACCAGGCTCCTCCATCCGTGGGATTTCCCAGGCAAGAACACTGGAATGGATTGCCATTTCCTTCTCGAGGGGACTGTTCCCAACCCAGGGATTGAAGCTGTGTCTCCTGTATTGGCAGGCAGATTCTTTACCACTGAGCCACCAGGGAAGCCTCTGACCTGCTCGGACATCTTGGCACTAACCAGGCATCTGATTTCACCTTTACACATGGGCTGTCTTTTCATTTTTCTGTTTTGTCTTTCTTGGAATTTTATTTCTATACTATCCTTTAAAAGTACAAGATCATAGTCTAATATTTTTATAGAGAGGGGACGTCTCTATTTCTGAAGGCTTATTTACAGGAGAAAGCAAGCTTGAGGCTACTCAAGATGTGAATTTCAACCAAATAAGAATTTACTGTTCATACCACATGTTTTCAAGGTCATCTTAAGACAAAGGTGAATCTGGGCCTCTTATGCTTTATGCTCCTTTCTGCTCCCCCACCCACATTTTTATGTGTGGGAAATTATATGAACATGAATTTCAGGGAAACACTGAAGATGAAAATGCCATAAGGGAAGGGGGAAGTGTAGATGACTGGATAGGGAAGAGAAAGGGGGGGATGGGCAGTGGCTCTTTAGAGCATCTGACTTCACCCCTGAGTTATTTTCTAAAAGTGCTGGGGGTCCTGAAACGTGGGGCCAGTCATCCTTCCAAAGTCTTGTCTTCCTAGGAATGAAAAGATCTTTCATCAACATATCCCATCACCTTGTCATAATTTGGTGTTCATCTCCCCATTTTGTGGATTAGGAAACTGAGAACCAGAATTTATACAGATCATTCAGTCAATTACCACATCCTAGATCACAATAAATTAGCAAAAATCTTTGAAAATTCTAAACCAGTTTGATTCTGATTTATTTTTCATTTTTCATTTATTTTTTTGTTTGTTTCATCCACTGGTTCGCTATGGTCATTGTGCTAATAGATTTTAGTGCTTTTAGTTCTGAGAAATGCACATCAGCAGAGGAATATTTGTAACAGATTTGTTGTTTGAGCTGTCTGCTGGTGACCAGTTCTCAACACATGCAGCTGTAGGATTAGGAAGACAAAATCCTTTGGAAGAAGCTATGAAATCCAGTCCTTCAACACATGGATCATTTTATGTTGTAAGAGGAATGAGCATCTCAAGATTCAAGTTATCAGTACAGACCAGATGGAAGGTCTTTTATGAAATCTGGCTTGAGAAGGAAAGCATTTTTATAGTGAAAAGGTAATATTTTGAAAACTAGCAATCAATAGCAGCAACAGCAGTTTGAAAGCTCTCAGATCCTTCTAACAGCCCCATCTACCCAAAGTGACCAGGTGAAGTAAAACCAGACCCTGTAAAATGTCTCTCCTTATCTGCAGCCATTTTTTATCCCTTTATCATAGTAGCATGGTGATGTTTCCAAAGAAAGCATCTGACTTAAACATGAAAGAATGGGTTTGGTTGGGACAGCTTGCCCAAGAATGTCAAATTTGTGTCAAGATCTATATTCTTGGGAATCAAAGACAAGTCAGAGTACCTTTTTGGAGTAAAGTCCACTGAATGGATAATGAGAGTGATAGGCAATACCTTCCAGAAAATGACTTCAGCAACAATATTCTAATAATGTACAGAGTTTTCATAAGTCCATTCATAGATGGTAGAAGGGAGAGAGGGGAAAGGAACTATCACAAGTATCTGCTATGCTTCAGGAATTGTGCTATGAACTGTACGTATATTCTTTTATTCAATGCTAACAAAGGCACTGCAGTGTAAGCATTATCAATCCCACAGTTCATTCATTCGTCTAAAAAGTACATTTGTCATCCAACTGCCAGACCTACTGTCCTCTTCAGGAAGCTGCAAAAATCCAGAGTGAGTAAAGTGAACAAGGGGAACCGCTAGAGAGAAGGTCTGAAAACCGCGCTGGCCATGGAGGGATCCAGTGAATTTGGACTTGACTCTGTAGGCCTGTGGGGATCATCACAGGATTTTTGAATGAATTTATTATGAATAATATACATACAAAAAGTGTACGAATCGTAAGCATAAAGCTCAGTGAGCTTTCTCAGAGTAAACATAGCCA